TATATATATATATAAACAATTATTTTTACAAATATCTATGTTTTTAAATATTATATTGTTGTGGTTGCTATTAAGAACATTTTCCATTACAAAGAACCTTCTGTGTAATAAAAGGTTTTTTTTGTTTGTTTGTTTGTTTTTTGTTTATTTTAAAAGTGTGTGATCAGGGAAGAATCTGTTCTGTGTTTGACAAATATTCTTTGGGTAGGCTGAACTAAACTTATTGACCATATCTGCATATTGTCTGTTGAAAGGTCAGTATAGCTAAAAAGTCAAAATAAAAGAGTATCACATTTCAAAACGAAAGATTGCAGTATACAGTTACATTATACCATATTGCAAAACTAAATATATCTGACCTAGTTTTGTTTATCAGCCTGTGCAAATATCCCATCAGGTACACCACCACCCATTTACCATAATCTACAGGTATCCAGAAACATACGGTTTCAGAGATGCGTTCAATTGTTTTTTTTTGTTTTTTTGTTTTATTCTAATTTTCTTTTTTGAGAAGTTTTATTTGTTTCATATATATTGATGAGTGTTGATCTTCTAGATGATCATGTAATCATGAAATCTTCCCAAGGGTTTTAATTTCCCAGCTTTTAATAGTTTAGGTCATGAGATGTTTAGCTTTTGGCTCAAACACATGCAGTTATTCACTACCTGGCACCATCGTTTTCAGGTTATGCTAGTGATGTGCTAAACTCCGTTGGATTTAATAATGTCTGAAAAACACATGATTGTCCTTAAGCAGAACCCTTTTTTATTTAACTGTGTTTCTGTTCTAATCAGCATTAATGGATGTGTTTCAATGGCTTGGTGTTGTTTTTATGTGTGTAGGATTGACCAGATATCAACTCTGTACCAGAACATCAGTTTGACGGAGCCCAGAATCGTCCCTCAGTATGAAAGAGTTCTTCTCAGTTTCGTCAAAGAGATCCGAATACTGAACACAGAAATGGAACATCTGGCACTTGCTGTAAAGAGGTAAACAAACTCATGTATATACATATATATGTACATACATAAATATGTACATATAGATGTATATATGTACATACTGTACATACATACTCGTGTGGGCACCGAGTTTTCTTCACTGTACTTTCCATACAGGAGTTTACTGGGTGGAGTTCAAATCTTCAGAGTTTCTTCAGAAATTCCTTGCAGAATCGTTGTATAATAAGCTTTTCTTTTTGGTTCTTGAGTTGCTATATGGTAGTAACTGATTGCATGTAATGTGGATTATGTAATCAGATTCCAAAAATTAAATACTTGTAATCAGATTACATTACTACATTACATTCAAATACTCATAATCAGACTACAGTTACTTTTTTATTGATTGCATGATTACAAAATATTCACAAAAAAATGGCAGCAAATTATTAATAATTTATTGATCCTTCCTAATTCTTATTTTTTATCTTATTACATTTTCTTTTCTAAAAATTGCTTTGTTTCAGTTTTGTGGAATTGCAAAGAGAGACTGGCCACTAGTCAGATGGCTATAATTAAGCTATTATTAAGCAGCATTAACAAATTAAATATTTAATATTTTAGTGCTTTATTTTGATTGGGTTTATTTTAAATGTATTAATATTTTTTTATGTATTTTTTTTATTTCATCAATTAGCGTTTCATCAAGCTTGAGAAACCCTGATGCAATATGATGTTTAATGCACTTGTTAACAAAGAATGAAATAAATTCTATTTTTCTTCATATTTTATATGAATATGGTGCAAGATTGTCCAATTCAATTCAATGTGAAAACATGTTAGATCAAAAGTAATATAAAGTAATCAAAAAGTAGATTTTTGCAGCCGATACCGAGTACCGATTTCTTGACATGGTGATCTGCCGATACCGATGCCGATTCTGATGCTTCAAGCTTTATATAACATATGTAATAATGTTATATAAATAATCACAAAAATTATTCCTTATACAGTGAAGAATTTTAATATGCCTTTAAAATGGGGTTTATGCATAACATTCTGTATATCAGGATACTTAATAAATAAGTATAAGACAAAATAATATGACAAAAATAAATACAAACAAAATGGAGCAGTCTGATGCAACCCACAAGGTTTATTTAAACATTATCCAATAGTAAACTGTGGCTAAACAAAATAAACATTTCATCTCCTAAAATTGAGAAGTGTGATGTAACTGATGTAACTATACAAGTCTGAGCAGGACGAAATTAATACAAAATAAAAAAACATTTAAACTCCAAAAATAACTAATTGGAGTAGTTTGATGCAACTCATTAGGTTTAATTTAACATTGTCCAATGTTAGCGAGAGGTCAAAATAAATAGAAACATTTAAACGCCAACATGGAGAAGTCTGATGTAACTCGTAAGGTTTAATACTGTCTAATATAAAACTGAAGAGGAAAAAAGAAATATAAACATTTAAACTACTGAAAGAACAAAACGGAGTAGTTCGATCACGGTTATATCCACGGGCGCTGCGGATAATCTGCGGGTCGGGTAATAAATGCATTCTGGTTATTTGAGGGTGGGTCGCGGGTGGATAAAATAAATCATAAATGATGCAAATATTAACTAAATTTTTTTAACTGCATTTTTTCATCAGGCAGACGATTTCACTTGTGTGTATGTGTGTGTTTGCCTGATCAGGAAGTTGCAGTGACAGAAACGGTGACATTCCAGATAAAGTTTGAAAGGAGTAAAGCCTGTGTTAATGCTATTGAGTAGGCTAATATGGCCAAAGAAGATATTTTGTTTTATAAATAAATGTTCATTTAAAAGCAGCCCACGATCAGCGTATTATGTTACCATTATCCCTTACGGCTCCAACGAGGTTTTGTTCCGTCCTCCACGCTGTGACACTTCACAAAAGCCTAACTTAAAGGGGTCATATGATGCAATTTCAAGTTTTCCTTTCTCTTTGGAGTGTTACAAAATGTTCGTGAATAGATACGATCTGTAAAGTTGCAAAGACTAAAGTCTCCAACCCAAAGAGATATTCTTTACAGAAGTTAAGACTGGTCCACGCCCTCCTAAAACGCCTCGTTCAAACACGCCCCCACATGTCTATGTCACTGTGTGGGAAGATTTGCATAACACCGCCCAAATGTTCACGCAAAGAAAGAAGGCGTAACTTTATTGTTGCAGCCACCACCGCCACCATGTTGTGAAGCCGCTGTGTGTTTTGTTGTGAAAGCGAAACTACTTTGTTTGGTCTTCCAAAAGAGGACACAACTAGAAATCAGTGGTTAAGTTGTATTTACAACACTGTTCCAGAACAGTTCAACCCAAATATTCAGATGTGTGCCTCGCATTGACTCACAGACTGTAAGTACGTTTTCATATTTAAAGAATTTGCCACTGACGATTCAAACGTGAGTTTTGAGCAGTGTAGAGTAGCGCTTGTTGTTTGTCATTTCTCCGATCACAAAAACAGACATGGTTTTATGTTTACGCGGCGCGATGCAACGCAACACGTAAAAAGACTGAGTCATTATAATCCGTAATTATGTCCCCGCTGGATGCAACAAATGCCTCGTTTATAATGGGTTTTAATGTTTTTGTCTCGTCGCTCCGGCCGGACACTGTCAACAATTCTGTGTTTTTCTGTCAATATGGGGTGCTGTGTGTACATTAATGAGGAAAAAAAATGTACTTAAATGATTTTAGCAAATGGCTGCAATATAACAAAGAGTGAAAAATTTAAGGGGGTCTGAATACTTTCCGTACCCACTGTACACTTTAAGGGTGGAGGGAGACAGCCTTCGCTCCAACACCTGCTGCAAAAAGGCCAGCACAACTCTGATCGGACATATTCGGGGGTCTTCTCGGTGAGAAGAGTACCACTCAACGAACAGGTTCCACTTCAAAGCGTAGGCGTGTCTCGTAGACGGTGCCCTCGCTGAAGTGATGGTGTCAACTACCCCTTGGGGTAAGCCACTTAGAACCTCCGTGTCCCGTCCAGGGACCAGACATGAAGTTTCCAGAGGTCTGGACGTGGGTGCCAAAGGGTGCCCCGTCTCTGAGTCAGTAGGTCCTTCCTCAGAGGGATCGGCAAGGGAGGGGCTGTCGCGAGGAGCCTCAGTTCTGGGAACCAGGTAGGCCAATAGGGCGCCACCAACAGGACCTGCTCCTCGTCCTCCCTGACCTTGCACAGCAACTGTGCAAGAAGGCTCACTGGGGGAAACACGTATTTGCGAAGGCCCCGCGGCCAGCTGTGTGCCAGCGCATCCGTGCCGATTGTTCCCTCGGCCAGGGAGAAGAACAACTGGCAGTGAGAGGTCTCTGGAGAGGCAAACAGGTCTACCTGAGTAGCTCCGAAACGTCTCCAAACCACCTGGACCATCTAGGGATGGAGTCGCCATTCTCCCGGGCGCGCAGCTCGAGACAGCTCGTCGGCTGCCCGGTTGAGCAGACCAGGAATGTGAACAGCACGAAGCGACCTCAGATGCTTCTGACTCCAGAGGAGGAGGTGGCGGGCGAGTTGCGACATGCGACAGGAGCGCAGACCACCTTGTCGGTTGATGTACGCAACGGTCACTGTGTTGTCCGTGCGGACTAGTACATGCTTGCCTCATAAGCGCCCTTTGAGATGACTCAGGGCAAGGTGCACTGCCAGCAACTCGAAGCAGTTGATGTGCCAGTGCAGTTGGGGCCCCGTCCAAACACCTGACACTGCAAGCCCATTGTACGTGGCCCCCCAGCCGGTGGTTGAGGCATCCGTGCAAACCACAGCATGCCTGGAGACCTGCTCTAGGGGCACTCCTGCCTGGAGAAACGCCAGGTCTGACCACGGGGTGAAGGTTTGGCGGCAGGCCGGTGTCACTTGGACCCGTAAAGTGCCGCGTTGCCACGCCCACCTTGGGACTCGGCCATGGAGCCAGTGCTGAAGCGGTCTCATATGGAGCAGCCCCAGTGACGTGACTGCCGCCGTAGCTGCCATATGCCCCAGGAGCCTCTGAAACTGTTTCAGTGGAACCGCCATCCTGCCTTTAAACGTATTCAAGCAGTTCAACACCGACTGAGCACATTCCTGCATGAGGCGTGCTGTCTGCCTGACCGAGTCCAACTCCATACCGAGAAAAGAGATCCTCTGCGTCGGGGAGAGTTTGCTCTTTTCCCAGTTGACCTGAAGGCCCAACAGGCTGAGGTGTGAAAGTACCACATCCCCGTGTTCGCACAACTGATCCTGGGACTGAGCGAGTATGAGCCAATCGTCGAGGGAGTTGAGGATGCGAATGCCCCGTTCCCTCATGGGAACAAGGGCAGCCTCCGTAACTTTCGTGAAGACACGGGGCGACAGGGACAGCCCGAAGGGCAGGACCTTGTACTGGTATGCACGCCCTTCGAATGCAAACCGCAGGAATGGCCTGTGGCACGGAAGGATCGAAACATGAAAGTACGCGTCCTTCAGGTCGATCGCTGCAAACCAATCTTGGGGACGGATACACCCGAAGATGCCTTTCTGCGTCAGCATCCTGAACGGGAGCCTGTGAAGGGCCCGGTTCAGGACGCGCAGATCCAAGATCGGTCTCAACCCACCGCCTTTCTTGGGTACAAT